AACACCCCCTTAGAAAATCTGACGCGCCAGATTAATTTTTTTAACCCTTACGTACAAACACCCACATCATGCAAACGATCAGATTAACTTTCGAACATTATTAAAAATACGTAGGACATTGATGCTATCAATATCTGACGCGCTCGAGTATGTCCATGTAACAGTATTTTTTTTTACATATTTAAAAATCTATAGCCGCTTCCCCCACCGATGAAAAGGTATATATAATATAACATTTTTTTCTTCTTATCATCTAAGCTTTGCAACCTAATATATCTCTATGACGATCGAGTAAATCCCTATTTTGCATCATGGGCTTCCCTACTGAAAGGTTTATTCTTCCCTGTCAGGATTGAAGAGTGTTTACTGGAAACGTTTCGGCGTAATTCTGCAATTTGTATGTAGAAATCAACAACAAAACTCGAAATAGCTATTACATCGTTAAAATCGAACTCTAAACGAATTCATTTGAAATGTTTACGGTTCGCATTGCCATTCGATTTGTTCGGATAATATAGCTTTGGTATTAACTGATGATTTGTGATTACAGTTCCACCTGACCCTGAAAATTTATAGCGAAAACAAGAGCAAGTTAGAGCAAGGAGAAAGAAAATAATTGGTCTGAATGAATCATTTTGAGAGTTGAGTTTCTCAACTGTAACAGTTGAATTATAATCGATAATATTTGAAGGAATCGCAACACATCGTTTTTGCTAAAGTTACACAAACATATTTTTCTATTTCTTCGATCACATCACTTGCTTCAACATTGTACATTCTTAGCTTTGACAAAAAACGCTGGCTTGGTTTTCATGACCTGGGGACGTTTCCTTCATAATATGATTCCAACAATTTCCAAAATTGAGTCAAATGAAAAGTGAAGCTGATGAGTCAACTGATCAAATCAATACCTATTGAAAACACTGATAATGACCTCCTAAGGACGCTAATTTGGTTAGCGAAACGCGCGGCAAGAGGCCTTAATTTTTCTTCTGGTGTTGGGAAAGTGTTTCCAATAGATTAATTTTGCGTCAGAGGTTCCAGTACGAACTATCACGTGGTCAATATTATTCTAGATACTCAAATTCTGGCTGGTTGAAAAAATTCAATATTGAATGTAAATGCCACGTGAAATAATTAGGTACCAATATGTCAAAAAAGAATCGGAAATCAGTCAATGAAATATAATATTCATCCAAAATTATTGCATTGTCTCCCAAAGAGGCCCCTTCCGAAATAATACAGTTACACCAACGAACAACCCAATCATCAACATATCTAATTAACATATTCATTGAACTCCTCCAGTACTCGCAGAGAATTCTCTCTGTTTTGAAAAAAATAATCAGCCGGAGCCATATCAGGTTATTACGGTGGTTGTTCAATAAGAGTTGTTCAGGTTTTGGCCAGAAATTCGTTCACAATTATAGTCTTGAGAAATTTTGTGTTATCGTGGTGCAAAATCCATGAGTTTTCTCTTCACATATCTGGTCTTTTACGACGAATATGATGTCGCACACGCTCAGATGATATTTTTCATTTCCTGCCTCCCCTTATAGCACGAGTTCCGATTACCGATTCGATTATCGCACATCACCGCGGTAATCGAAAAAAAACTGGTCACCTTCACCAGTTACAATGCATTTTATGAATGTGGGGTTGGAGTTGACTCGTTCTTTCATGTCTGCAGCGACTTCAACGCGACTGAGTTTGTGTAGATAATTATATAGGTACGTACAATTGAAATCATGTATGGACAAAAAATTAATAAATGGATGAACACACAATTATTTTGCTAAAGGTTTATTTTCAGATGACGCGTTTCTACAAAGAATTGGGTTTTTTCGACTACTCGGTAGCCGCCTGACTCATCCATTTTTCCGAGTCTCCGGAAAACACTGCGGCCTTAGGGACTTTCTAAGTTTTTCTCCCACCTTCTCCATGACACCCATTTCAACAATCTTCTGTTCTGTACTAGTTTGTACAGAACCCTTGAATGTATGTCATATTCTTCTTGATATAATTCGTGTGGTCCAATAATTGTTTACCTCCTCCAGTACTTCACATTCGCATAAAATATGAAGAACTGTCTCTGTCGCTTTGCCTGTGTTATATGTATATTCATTACCCTGTATGCTAGGGTGGTTTTCATGACGGCAGATAAGAAGAATAGAGGTACCACTAGAAGGTACAAAAACTGTTGGAAGATACTGAAATATAATAAAGTTTGTTGCCGTTTATGGGTGTTTTAAAAGCCTCATAAGATGGTGTCAGAAGTGGGATAATGAAATGTTCTCTTTGAATATATTTATATAGTGATTTTAGATCAATACAAAGCCTCAGGGATCCATCTGGTTTTTGTCTACGATCATCAAACTATTCACCCAATTGGTAGGATAATCAACTTTACTAATAATATTTTGACTTTACAAATTTTCAAGAGCATTTTTCAATTTTGAATGTAAAGAAAATGGAATTTTCCGCTGGTACTGAATTACCGGCCTAACACCACTCGTTAAAGTAATGAAACATAATCCAGGAATCTTACCTATTCCTTCAAAAAATTGTTTATACATTTCATGAATTTTTGTTTTTGATTGAGGCAGAACATTAATTCCATCAATCTTCTTAATTAAATTCAAATGCAGACAATCTCGAAGACCCAAAATTGGCTCGGAACTGATGTTTTAAAAGGTTTATAACAGCCTGCAGCTAATGTCTACGTTGTGTAGTTCTATTTTTCAGATGCCCTCTCAATGAACAGTGTCCAGTGAGTAGCTCTCCGATTGTTCAGAGCCAATCCATACTTTGTCGAAACAATTCTTCGGTTCTCTTCTCGTACGGTCCCTTTATGAAGGTCTTCATTATCTTCTAATACATTTGAAGCAAATTAATCAGGTACAGTTCATTTATTATATGAAGATAAAAGGCGAAGTTCAATTTACATGACAAGTCATCATTCAATTGCTCTTCCACTCAACCTCAAAAATGTCGCCTAGTACGCAAGGGAATAAACAAAAAGGATTTTAAATTATCTTAAAATATTATGACTATTTATAGATTTGTAATGGGTAGCTACTGGGTCGTTAATAGTTTGAAGAAAATAAGAATCGTTTGAAATTGGTATTAAAATAATTGAAGTCAGCTCGTTTCATGAGCTCGGAAATGTCATTATAAATTGCACAGATCTGATAGCTGAAATTCCTTCTAAAGAACTTTGTGCGAAAGGATGGTGGAGTTAGTCGGCCTTTATACCTCACATTAATATTATGCACATTAGTTCTAAAAGTAATTTTCTGGTGTAAGTAAGACGGCACTTTACTATTATTTATTTTGTGAAACAAAGTTGCAGCATGTAACACTCTCCTATCGTTCATATTTAACCAGCCGGCATTCTTCAGTTTATGTGATATTCTTTCTCTTCTTCTAATACCAAAAATTAATCGAAAGCAGAAATTCTGCTATCTTTTTCTTGAATTGGTTGGTTATGTTTCCTATAGACTCACTTTCTAACCTGGTTCCGTAGCAAAGACTTTGGTACCTCAGCAGCTGGCTCAGCGCCCATATATGAAGTTGACGATTCGTGTCTGGCACATTCACAGGCTCTTTAGTCCCGTCTGTATATCACATGTTCTACAGAACATATTCTCAGAATGACTGTTCATTCTCCACTCTTCGCGGTTTGAGACTATTGTAATAATTAAAGAATTAACATTCCCACACAAATTTATTTCCAACAATATTTCACTATCACAAACTAATTTTTACAACACTTAGCAACTAACGCTTAATTTATTTTCACTATTTGAACTTCTTGTTTAGCTGCTCGATTCACTTTCTAAACTGCCCCCCTTTCCATTTAATTTTTCCCTGATGGCGACCCGTCGCCATCTTGAAAGTTTCATCTGTCAATTTTACTTCAAAATAAATTATTCATTAATTTCATTATCCCAAATTTCAATGTTTTGAATGAATCGAAGAGGTTTTTGTATAAAAGTGTATAATTATAAAATTATTGCAAAGCGCTTTCGACTTTCGTCGCTTTGCAATAATTTAATAATTATACACTTTCATACAAACACCTCTTCGATTCATTCATTCAATAAGAGTATTCAGCTTCCCAAATCTATCAATTTTTTGAGGTGACCCGTTCAAAAAATAAAAAAGGGGCATTAAAGAACTGCACTGTATAATGTAACGGTTCTTTCTAGAAATCTGTAGTCGTTTCGGTACTCAACTAGAGTTTTACCGGCGGTTGCCGACTGCATTCTTTCGCGGTGATGTCATGTGTTTGTTATATGATTCAGCCGGCATATCGATCAGGGGCGGCTTCAGATTCGTTTTGGTGCCGTGTGGTCCGGGAACATGTTTGAGGTTCGTTCTTTCACATAGTAAGAAAGTTCTGTTCTGCTTGATCCCACGTAACTCGGTAGGTGTTCCAGTCTGAATTAGCCTATTCTTGCGCTTCCTCTATTATTGTAAGATGTAAAGTAGGAAGATTCAGTAGTGTCTCCAAAGCACTTGTAGGAGTGGTTTTCATTTTTCCCAAACATGCAAGTTTCAGCACCCTCCTTAGTTTGTTAATAGCAATAGTATCATTAATGTAATTAGATTAGTTTTTTGAAATGATAAAAATATGCCTACAACATATATAAATTCTTTATTTTTTGATTACTGAGGGAAGAAAAAACTTTTTCTCAAACAGAAAAATAATTCAGGTGAGTTTTCGAATCTCACGATTAGGAGGAGAATATATTTTCAAACATTTTTTAGAGACGTCTTACAATGTTTACACGATTCTAAAACTATTCGTTGGAGATACATTGACGACGGCCTAAAACCGCGAAACCAGCAATTTAAAAAAATGGTCGCGAAAGCTTAAATCTCTACTTCACACGATCCTCTCTCTGCAAGCAATAGACCAAAATTGATTTTATGATTTTTTTACTTGTTCAAAACTCTGAATTCCAATTTTCAATTTCTCCAAATCGAAGTCTTACCTCCATCACATCATTTGTCAATCTTATCGTCCTGGCTGCATCTCCAGGATGGGGAGCTGAACCGTCCGGTCCAAGTTCAATCAAAAGTGGAGCCGCATCCCCTCTGAGGTCTCTCGTACTGGCCGCTTGACCGAGGGCTCCTGGTTTCTTTTTTCTTTTTCTTGGCGCGCAATCAGCGGGCCTTCTCCTAACGTGAAACATTATGGAGCCTGAAAAAACAATAGTTTGAATGACGAATCAGTTAGAAAAAAATTATGAATTGATATTCCTTAAAATTATTCTAAATTGATTACACTCGTATGATGTCATCAGGATTTGAATCCCTTTATTTATACTTTGCGCGAGATCCGAGTAACATAGTGTGTCTTTATTAATATTACTATCCACCTAGGCACCTGTGGATTATTGTTAACAAATTAGTGATTAACCTGATGCCTGAAAACCTGAATGACCAATATCACCATTTGGTTGGTGATACATTTGGTATGTTTCTAATCTGAAAATTCAGTCAAATCGAGACACTTATCCTAATGCGTACACTGAAACCACGAAAAGATCGACCAAAACAGAAGCGCAATTAGCAGTGACGAACTCGCCCTGAATAGTGAATTATATCAAATTCGAAGATAGGTTAGGTTAGGTCAAAAGTGAGTTGGTCTATTCGACCCTCCATTGTAACCCGCAAGGGTTTATTGTGGCTCGCACCTATTCACACTCGACCAAATAAACCCAGCTCTTCAACGAAGCCGAATACTTTATATGGTGAATGGTCTTTCAGAACAGATGTTAAAAAATTCGGAGATATCCAAGTCTTAGAATCTGCATATTAGGCCAGAGTGTCAGGAAAGCTTTCGAAATCCTCAAGTACGAGGTTTGCTCAAAAAATAAGGTAAATTATTTTTCTCAAAAAATATTCATTTATTCGTCAATTTCTATTTTGCCCCCTTCAGTCGATGTAAAACGCTGTGTTTCATGGATCTCTTCAATCTAAGGAACAATAAAAAGTCACAGGGGGCCGAATCTGGTGAATATGGTGGCTGTTGTTTTTGGACTAAAATCAATCACAGTCAAATCACAGTGGGACTACTGATAACGGACATTACACAGCATATTGCAGACACCCATATAGTGGCACGTGGCATGAATACAACGATTCACACGTGTTCCCAATTTCGCCAAAATCACTTGTAAGCAATGAGACATATGTCTTCTTTTATGAACAGGAGGTAACGAAGCAGCATCTTTGATGTGATTTTTTTTCTTCTTTCCTTTTTTTTATAATCTTAGTTCTTTGAATGGATTTGTATTTCATGATTGTTTCAAATAACAGGCCAATGTAGGTATTTTCTGGGCAAGACATGAAATTGGAAAGAACGAACAATGTCGGGTGAGCAGGTGCATTATCATGATGCAAAGTCATGACTTGTTTTTACACAATACCGGACGTTTTATTCGTTTTGGCTCTCGTAAACGGCGAGAGGCAAAACGAGACTTTGGTTTAAATGTCATAACCATATACCCATCATTCGTCACCAGTTATGACAAGTTTAAGCAAATCTGGATTGCCGTTGAAGTCATTTAACAATTCCTGAGCGATGCTCATGCGACGGTTTTTTTGGTCAAAATTCAGCAATTTTGGAACGAACTCCGCTGCCATACGCTTCATGCAGAAATTTACGAAAAAATGCATGGCATGAGCCAACCAATATGCCGACATCCTCAGTAACTTCTCTAATAGTGATTCAACGACTCTCCATGACAATTTTCTTCACTTTCTCAACATTTTCATCGGTTGTTGATGTGCTGGGGCAATAGACTAAACATGCTAAACAGCTGAAACCGAATTGTTGTAAATCATGCCCTAAAAAAAACGCCGGCCGCCACTGGTAGCCATAAACCACTGGTGACGTAGCTAAGAGCGTGCGAATGTACGATGACTCCCCGCCACTCGAGTAGCAGCGAGAATAATGCTACCGACTTCGACAGAACTTGGGCAAAATTTCTACGGCATTTGTTTACGATATTTAAACGCTAGCTACGAGCATATCGACACAGTCAAGTGGACGTTACAGTGCGGTACGCGAAGTGATTTAGTAAGGCGATAGACATTCAAATAATAGTTGAAGTTTTAGTTGAAGTGTTTGTTGTATTCAAAGTGAACCCACGGGGAAAAACGTAACAATATGTTGGAGACAAGTGTACCAAATAAAAGAATAAAAAATCGCAAATCGCCCGCGAAATTTTAAAATTCACCTTATTTTTTGAACAGACATCGTATGCAGCGATGAAAAATATTGGGCATTGTATAAAATTGAATTTGTGTATTTTGTTGTTCTGATATACCGTATTGTAAAAGTAACACCGTGTTTACGTCAGAAAGCGTGTTAATGATGAATAGTTTGAACTTTTAGTCAGGTTTTTGTTTTAAAAAATGGGTGAACACGTGAAAGATTCAAGTCACTGCAAACAATACAAATGATTATGTATACGTTAAGTACTGAAATAACGTGTTTAAAATAGACAAAATCTTGCATACCATTCTAATGAAAAATAATTTACTTTAGCACGAGCATGAACTTATTACCGCCTTGAGATCAGAAAAATACTCGATTCACAGTTTCGAATCGTAGTTGATGCAGTTCAATAGACACAGACGAAATGAAAAAGAAAGCAACACACCGACAAAGAACAGTTCAATACCAACCTATTTTATTAAAACATCGATCAAGACCCATGTTTCTCGTTTGAAACACACAGAAATTTCACTTCAACTGCCTCACATATACAAAACTTGGCAGCTGAAACCAAAACACTGTTGGCTATTATAGGTTCAATTGCAGCTGGAGTCGGTCCGAAAACAAACCGATTAAAACATCGGATATGTAAAAAAATCGAATAAACGTTGAGCAAAAAACCGTGTAAAAAGCAAGGTTAAGTCGAACAATTAGAAACAGGACTGACAAGACAATGCAAAATGCAATTTCGTTTCGTGTTCAATAACGAGATTTCCACAATTGCTTTCATTTTCTAGTCCTACATTATACTAACATTTATAGTTTTAGGAGAATGATGAAGTAAGTTGTAGTTCGTTCATACAGTTCGTTGCAAAAGTAATAATATGAATAATTTTGTATAATATTAGAAATAGGTAAACATTTCAAGTGTCTAAATTCAATGACAAACTAATTGGAAACGAAAATTTACTGTTTTCTGTTGAATCGAAAGAAATATAAGATTCAGTTTGAAAAATAAAATGAGTAACACATGACATAGGAAATCTAGAAATGATAGTCATAAGTTATATTTAGTGAAGATATTTCTAGAAAGACAAAACTAGGGAAGTACCGTGAGCAATTATTGTTGAATCAACAGAAATCTGCCTATTTTAATGTAAAGTTTATTAGTACTGAACAATTTTAATGAAAAAAATGTTCGGAATAAATTCAAAATATTATCAAATAACAAATTGTGCGATACAAATAGGGAAACTGATAGGCTTCATGTCGTTTTTTTATAAAACTACAATTTCCGTTCCGTTTCATGACCAATTTTTCATATGGAATGTGTACTGAACATGTGGTTATATTAAACATGAAAGAAAAACATCCATTTGAATGAAAACAGTATAAAATTATTCAAAAGTAGAGTACCATTACTCTTTAAACGACATTTTTTTTTGTGGAGGACTAAATATTTTTTACTGTTTTTTTTTTGTATAAAATAATGAAATACCATTATTTTCTACTGTAAATATGCATGTACTTTAATCAGCAACCCAAATAGACCTTTTTCAGGAAATTGAAGAAAAATTGTTGAGTAACTGATAATTAATAGTAGCCCCCAGCCCCAATTGTTATGTGTCTTTTTGAGAAAGGGTTTAATTTTTAAAATCTATGAAGGTTTTTTTTGAAACAGTGACGAAGGTCATATGTTATTTTGGTACTTATTTCAGAGTATTTGTGAGTTTTAATTGCTTCTAGGCAAGGCATTGATAATTCTTTCTACCGATGAAGAAATTCAGCTGTATGTTTGACAATATGTACCAGCAGAATCATTTTCTTGATAATCAAAGTACTATTTGTATGAACGATCTTGGCGTTATCATGTTAGGTAATTTATTCGCGCCGTAATACTAATTTAATTATTATAATATAATAATATAACTTTATTCACTTAACCGATAGCTGTACAGAATACAAAATATATATATATAATTATTAAATGAATAAAACAGTAAAAGTAGCCAAGTACTTGTTTGGTTATAGCAATGAAACATACATGGAATTAATTTTAAAAAGATCTATAAAAATTGTTATTCAATTTCTATTAAGTAATATAATGAAGTAACAGGTAGGTATATCAACATTACAATAAAATTTCAATACAGTAATATGATAAAAAAAGCAATGAGTAAGGAGAATTTCATTTGCGAAAGATGTATTGAACTCAGTTGTTAAAGTTGTGTCAAATCCAGGTAAGTATTTGAAGTCCTAGTTCAGCATTTGTAAAAAATATCTCCCACGTTCGAGTATATATACCCCCAGCTTTTTTCTGAACAAATACTTTTAATGTTTCAGGTACCGAATTATAACATTTTAACGAAACATATGAAAAGGCTTGTTGAGAAATAGATTTCTTTAGAATGTACGGGTAGGTGAGTACATTTCGATTATGTGTATTATATTCGTGTTCTGCCTTAGCTGGTTCTGAATTACAGAAATGAAATCTGATGTTTACATACAGGAAATATAGCAGTCCAAAATAAAAAAAAAAATGAATCTTTATACAGGCTATCGGAAAAAATCTGAGGGGTTTATTGAGAATAAGCCGAATGCATCTTTTTTGGACTATTTCCAACGGATTCAAATATATCCTACATGCGTTTCCTCAAACTGTAATAGCATATCTCAAATGACTCTCAACAAGATAATAATACAGTTTTTTCAATTTAGTGATGGGCAAACATTTTTTGAGAGTTTTGAATTGATAAATAATTTTACGCAGTGTTTTAATAACAAAGTTGATATGGGAGTTGCACCTCAAGTTATTATCGATATACACACCTAGATATTTGAGGTTCTTACTGATTCAATATATAATGTTTTTTCAGGTTAAGTTGACTACAATTCGATGGAATGGTGCAGCTCCGGATTTAATGCAAATGAAAGTGATAAGTTTAGTTTTTCCGGATTGACAGTTAAGAGTTTTT